AGCTGCAGTCCAATCCCCGGGCAGCTGTGTCTCGTTGCACGATCTGTGGGGCAGGCTCCTGCTGGCACAGGCTGAGCACAGCGGGGCTGAGCGTTGGGCTGCCTGGTACCGCCGCCGAGGGCAGGGACTGCCCTCCCCATGGAAGCCAAAGGACTGCTGGGGCACGGACAGCCCTTGCTAATGCTGAGGCGCTGTGGCCTTGTGGTCACAGCCATAATTAACAGTGCTGTGGGCTCCCCCACCGGATGACATTTGCTCCCTGCTGCCATTAACAGGCAGTCCATGGCGAGTCAGAGCCTTATTTCTGCACCACAGGGCCCAGGGGAGCAGCGGGGCAGGTCTCGTTACTGCCCTTGCCTGCACGCGATGGCCACGAATGCCATTTTTATGTCAGGCCCTCTGTTCTGCCTTTCTGGGTTGAAATTTGGTTCCCAGCTTCGTGTCAAGGCCCTCCGAGCCCAGCAGCTGCCGTAAAAGTCAGAGTGGCCAGAAAGAAACCCCAGCAAAAGGCAGCCCCAGGCAGGGGGGTCCTGCCAGACCTGCGCCAAGGGCAGCGCTGCAGTGGCAACCACAGTGCGGGGAGGCTGCGGTGAGGTGGGCTGGGCTGGGTGACGCAATTCCCGGCTCGCCGCAGGCGAGGTGTGTGCCACCAGGCCCACAGCCTCCTGCACCGGGGGAGGAACTCGATGAGGTTTGATTATCGCTAATTGTAGGTGTGGCAGGTCTCTGCAAAATTTAGTCAGGCTGAGTGCCCGTCAGTTTCCCACCTGATGGCTGATACTGTGACAGCAAAGCTTGCTTATGTAGCAACACTTGTTCCTGTGGGATGTTCCCTTCGCTGTAATTATGTGCTGTCAAATGTAAAACATTGCAAGTCTGGAATAAAAATATTGAGTCTCCACCTAACACAGCCTGGCTGAGCTACGGCACCCCGTGCACAGCCCCTGCTCACAGCGGTGGGTGCTTGCACCACAGGCCAAGCCCTGCGCGCAGCCCCGCAGCCCCACGGAGGGGCACCCCCAGCCCTCAATGTCACTGCTGGATCCCCGCTGCCGCAGCTGGCAACCCCCAGTGAGGGCGGTGCGGGACTCAGACGCTGGCTCGGCAGGCATGAGGAGCACCCAGGGTGGAGGGCTGTGTCCGGACACGGAGAGCTGAGGGCTGGGTCATGCTGGCAGTAGGACTTGCCCAGCTAAACCAAAACCCATGAAATGAGAGGTGCGGTGAGGGCTGTTGAGGGGCAGCAGCCCAGTGGATGTGCCCATGCAAAAGCTGGTGGGGGCACGGCGCTGCAGGGGAAGAGCAGTGTCATGTGTCAGCACAAACGCACTGCACTTAAACACCTTAAAGTGTTAGACACTAAAGCCTGAATTCTGCGGTGCCTCACACACACATAAGTTTACTGGAGCAGGTATCCTACTGAAGCCTGCTGCCAGTCAGACTCAGATTTGCACGTTGCATAATAAGATTAATTAGATATGGTGACTGCAGTTCATTTGCCTCATGCC